CAATTACCCATTTTTTCTACTCATAAAATCCTCTCTCCACTTCTCACAAGATATCTTTTATTGTCTAGTACCTCTTAAGATATCTTGACTTTTTTCCCCCTGTTGATTTTATGTAATATCTATTTTCATGGTCAGATGCAATTAGAAAGTTTGCTCTGCACTTAGTCCTTAGGTAGTTTGTAAATTTACTTGAGATAAGCCCTAGCACTTCAACATCTCTGAATCTCCAGATACTCAGAAACTTCCTGCTGCATAGAAGTAACTGCATAAATGACTGATTAAATGGATGAATTACATGAAGTCCAATGCTGTAGAGAATAAAAATGAGTAATTGCTTTTAATCTAGGAGACATGAGGACTAATTATGTTATTCAAGCATTATTTCAGAATCAAAAAACAGATATTTCCTTTAATTTGATTCTCTTTTTTGAAAAGGAAAGGTGTTTCTCCTCCTGTATTTAATGACACAGTCCTCCTAGAAGAAAGGTTATTATCTTTTTGGTTTAATATACTAATTAATCATGTATTTGTTGCAATTATGTAATTTTATGGCGAACATACTTCAACTTTTTAGAAATTGGTCAATGGAAAGTAAATTGACTTGCTCAAATAATTCTAGAATTGCCTAACCATATTGTATAATAAAGCATCACAAGGACATATTCAAATTATGAGATCCAGCAAGGCAACTAAAATGTATCTCCTGATCTGTGGCTATTATTCTGAGTCATAGAGTACCACGAATTAAACATCCCTGCCAGGGTACCTCCCTGGTACAGCCTCTCTGCTTCAGCCCTGATGTGTCACTTATGTTAAAGTCTTCCAGTAAGTCTAACGAAGTTTCCTACAGTATTAAGAAGCATATTTCACCAAGATTCTGAAGTCAAGTGCTTTTTGTTTTCTGCAGAACTAGTTGCCCAGATGTCTGGATAAGGTTTCTGGCACAAACTTTTTCAGGAAATAGGGCAAGAGGAACACCTATTTCATATTTGAAATGAAAAAACACACACACACAAGAACATTGCACAATAACAAAAAACAAATGGTTGGTTAGTGATGTCATTTAAGAGTCACATCACTGTGACTTTATTTTGCCCATGGAGGAAATCGTGACTTTTGAGGTATTACAGCAGCAACTAAGTTAGATGACTTGGTTTAATTTAATACACTTAAAAAGAAACATGCCAATATTGGAAGGGCACAACTACTTATTTTCTGTTTCTAGTTATAAGCAAAGAACTTAATGGACAGCAGATTTACAGTAAAATAAAACCCATGTTACCCATTTCTGTCTCTGAAGAACATAAACCTGGAGTCAAATACACATCAGAAAATTAAAAATTATTGAACTACGGAATTTGTTGCCCAAAAGAGTCGGCCCTATAGGTTAACATCACTGACTTGTCATACATACTCTTGAGCACATAAATCTTAATGAAATTACTGTAAATCTAGAAGTTCCAGACAATTTATCACCCTTAATTCCTCAGAATAGAAGGGATGAAAAGTTGATGATGCATGCTTTGATATTACCCTAAAGCTTATTTGAAATAATTAACTTTTTTAAAAAATCGTTTAATTTTTCTTACAAAAATCTGTTTTTTTAACATGGAACAATTTTTTGAGTTATTTATTATACTGTAAACTTGGTACCATCTTCCAGTTGGGTGTGCTTTATTTATATTGTGGCATTAGAATGAATTATTTTATTATGGAAAAAAACAGCATATATACCAGAGGCAGAAATCTAGACTCTCTTCTGTTCTCAATCTTTTAGTGAAGTATTTTTTTCTTGTTAAAAAAGTCTTCAACAGCTGGCAAAATTTATTGTTAATGTTATAGTGAGATCTGGTATCTTAATGTTAATCCAACTTATAGGAATATTGAGATAATTCCATAATTAGAGGTAAATATTTCAAATGTGAGGATACAGAAAAATAATGAATGGCTGGTAATGTTTTTAACTAAACAAACTCCCCTTCTTATCGCCATCAAAAGTATCCATTCCTGCAGGGCCTATTACCGATACAATCTGCCCTACGCTTCCACTGTCCACTTAGAACTGGGAGGAAGAATGAATTTTACCTATTGAGCACCAATTTCAACGCAGATATTATGTTAAACATTTGTACCTTGTCTCATTTAACTCTCACAACAATTTTCAGAGAAGGGCACTCTTTTTATCTCCATTTGACTTTTCAGAAAACCAAAACTCAGAGACACTAGATAATTTCTCTCATATTACACAGCTATTAAATTGTGGTTGTACAATTTTAATCTACACAATGTAATTCCAGAACATTACTTACTCCAGTAGCTTTGCTCAATATGTTAAATTAAATCCAAAAATACTTTGGTGTGAAGTGTATGTTTTTCTTTGTAAGACTATTTTCCAATAATCCTAAATTGCCTCATTTCATACATTATACTTTCCAAATTCTGAATCAGATCAGTCTTCAAATTCTTGGCAGGTTTTTAATTTTCACTGATAGTTCCAAACTATAAGAGAGACCTGATCTCAGGTCTCACTTAAAATACAAAAGGTTATTATATAAATTATTCTCATATCATCTCATATTATATAAATTATTCTCATATCATCTCAATGGAGGTACATTTGTTGAAGGCTAAGCCTCAAGATAAAGATGGAATGATTAGATCTACATGCCTCCCTGAGGGATAAACAATATACTATGATTGATATTCTAAATATGAATGGGTTACCCAGGTTGCTGACTAGGGCCCCCTGATTCGTCTTTTAAAAAAATCCTTGCTCTTTCCATATATACTTGCCATGTGACTTTGCTTCCCCATGGACCAGTACTACCTAAGTAACTATACCTGCAGTTTTATTAGTTGATCCTAGCTTTTTCCTACCTTGTACCCACCTCTTGACTTTGTATACCTTGTGATTTTGCTCTATAATACTTTATTTAAGAAGTAGGCTTGTGGGAACTCACTTTCTGTGTCTGTTCCTATCTCTCTCAAGCAGGAGCTATCTCTCCCTCAATAAAATTTCCTACTGTTAACCTCCATTATTCCTCAGAATTCTTCGATTTTGGGGAACATAAACTAAATGTACTGAATATTGACATTTATAGCATTATAACACCTCCCTGTATTACTTGGAGGTCCTATATCAATATAATTATTGGTTTGTGACACTGGACAGGTTTTTATGTTCTCTAAATTTCAGCTTATTTAGTGACATGTCTTCCTGCCAGATTACAGAAGGAAAATATCTTGCATGATATTAACTTATATTTAGGTTTACTGTTGTTTAGAAAATGAGCACTTATTCTAAATTTAATTTTCAAACAATAGCTATTTTTCAGTTTCTACATTTGGACTGATTTGACGTAATGAATATCAATGACTATTGCAATAAGAATACCTACACAAATGAAAATGAATCTTAATGATATCACTGGTATTGATAGTTATGACCTTTAAATTTTTAAGTCCTAGAGCAAAGATAGATGTTTAAATTGAAATTACATATTGGTTCCAGGAAAAGTTTTCACTAATTGCAGCTTTGATTATGTAAGTATATTGTGACTCTACATTATTTGAACAAGCTATTTTATAATTTCCAGTAGATTTTTCCAAAGAAATACATCACAATTTACCAGAATGATATAAATGCATATGGATATGTATATGTTTGCACATACAGGAAATGCATATTTGTGCATATATATTCACAAATACACATGCATAATATTCTTTGGAACACTAAGCAATTTTGAGAACTATTTTTAGTAAATTATGAAATTTAGTAAATTTTAAATACTCAAGTATTAATTAATCCTTACTATTTTGCAAGTACCAATGGATTATACTCATGCAAGACATCACTGATACTGTACACAGAAAGATACCCAGGAAAGGCATTCTTTGGAAAGATATGAAAACACTAAATGGAAACAAAGGAGCTCAAGCAATGTCTAATGGGATGGAACTGTGACCCAACAATATTTTTTTAGAACTTCACTGTATGATTTTGAAACTAAAACCAAGACATTAAGAAACCTAAAAACAGAATAAGACAGGATTTTAGCGTATTTACTTAGTAATAAACCACTCCAAATACATAAATAAATTACCTCAAATTCTTAAACTAGAAGACGAATTCCTTGGCTAATGGGTCATGGTGCTGAGATTTGACAGTCTGCAACCTCTCAGCTCTACCACCCTTAGACTTTTATTTAGCTCTTTAAGATTTGTCCTCAAGTTTTAGTTGCTGCGTTCCCTTAATTAGCAATATGTACAATCATCCTTGCAAACCTCCTCCTAATTCTCCTGCCCCTTGAGCTAGATGTAACCTTACCCGTATTGTGTTTTAGGCAAACAGCCCTCTGTTGGGCAGCATCCTTGTCCTACATATTCCTAGACATGCTGGATAGAGATACTCAGTTGTTCAATTGATTCCTCTAAACATGAAACCCATTCATCTGTTCCTTTCCCTGCTTTGCAGTTCTCAAGATCACTGAGACACTGCTGCTTATTTGTTGAAGTTAATGGTTCCTCACTGTAGTTTTGTTCACAACACCAGGCAGGGAATAGACAAAACTCTTATAGCATATCTCTGGCCCCAGGATCTAGGCAGAAACAACATGAACACTATTTAATGCACATTTACTCATTGAACAATACCCGGAGCGCTTTAATAGATTTGATTTTCAGCGCACAAACATCCTAATTCAGCTTAAAATAGCCCACGCATTCCTAAGAGTACTTCCCTCCTTTTCCTTCTCCTCCCCTTTTCTCTTGCACGTCTTTCTTACTTTTTTCTTCCAGTCTTCTTTCTCCTTTTTCTCTTTACCATAGTTTTCCCTCCATAGGGGAAAAAAAAGGTAAATAAAACTTATCTGCAACCATCCTTTAACCGGTAGTCACAAAGGAAGGGACCCCTCCAGGAGCGAAAGCGCAGCCCTTGCTGGGGCGTGGCGGGGACGCCGCCCCCCACCGGTCAAAGGACCTAAAAAAGGGGAAGTCCCAGAGTTTTGAGTCCTGGAAACCGAGTATCAGATCTGCTCACTTTCACAGACAGCTTGGCTGGTCTGTGCAGTCGGACCTCCAAGAAGCAGCCTTTCTTCAAGGGATCAAGAGCCCAGGCACTTTTACAGTGCCCTTCCTGTCCAGACTCTGGAAAAGCAAGGGGTGTGAGGGCGGAGCCACTGGGCTAGCAACACCCTCGCCAAGGTCCAGCCCTTGCCAGTCTTTCACCACCTTAGGGATTTGGCACAGAGAAAGAGATCACTCTCTCAATGAAAAGGAAGATGTCCCTTTAAGGTTTGCCTTGCCTGCCTGTGGACTTTAGCCTAAAAAAGGACCCGCGATGCTGGCTTTATTTGTCCATGTTTCGGTCAGAGCCCGGGAAGCTTGCCAATGAGATTTTCGACTAAAAGCGCGAAGGATTAGATGCCTTTTAGGAGGTAAAAAGCGTGCAGCCAACTTAAAGACTTGGGACCAAAAGACAGGAATCAGTCCCCTGTGGGGCCTGGACTGTGTGGCTGGCGGGACGGAAGACTGTGAGCAGCGCAGACCGCAGAAGTGGCCCAGAGCACAAGGCATCGGTGCCCAGTTCTGCCTCTGGACAAGCACGTTCCCGGGGCGCTGCTGCGGCTCCAGCCATGGCCCCCCGGCGCCCTGCCTGCCCAGAGGTCGCTGTCGCCTGCTTATGGCTTCTTACCGGTAAGCGACTCCACTTTGCTCTCAGCATCTAGGGTGCTCGGGGCTTGGCGCTGGGAGCCTGGAGCCACGTACAGGGCGCCATCCACTTGGGCTGGCCAGGTGGCCCGGCCAGGTCAGCCTAGTAAGCAAGTTTCTGTGTCTGAGTTTTGACAGCAATTAGTTTCCGTGTTGCTTCAAGCCTCCCCAGCCCAGCAGTACGAATGAGGCAGTGCTGAAAACTTTTACCTGCTGGAATTGCATTTTCGAATTAAAGTTGTGTTTACCGCGTAAAATTATATTTTAGGACTTGTCTGAATGGCTTTCTACTTTTTTTTTTTGTGAAGGATAACGAAATAGTGACTGATTTATAATCAAAGTTCTGACCCTCGGGTTCTTCTGGGTTAGACATTCTGGCATTTTCTTGCAGTCTAGTATTTAGGAGAGTCTGCTAAATCTACCCTAATAGATTTAGGAAGCAATGTAAAATTCGTTTCTGCCTGATACAGTGCTTCTGTGTCAGCAACCCAGAGAACAAACATTTTGAAACAGAAATAGTGAACAGCACAGACTAGTTTTTAAAAATGCAAAATGATAGCATTATTCCTGGAAATATATATATATATTCTTTCTTGTTTTTATCGGTACCAGGGATCGAACTCATGACTGCCTGCTTGCAAGGCAGGCGCTTATGCCGCTGAGCTAAATCCCCAGCCCCGGAAATACATATTTTTAAGGTGGGATTTTTAAAACACAGGGAAAATGTAAAATTATAACCAATTTAGGGGATTGCCTCATTCTAAGATTTTCCTAATGATTAACCCTTGGTCAGATATTTACACAAGTTCCTACCTCAGGAGGGAAAGTTGAAATGTTGACAGAAGGTACAGGGTGGAAGTGTAGTGGTGAAAGCCTTAAGTGAATGACAAAGACTTGAATAGTGGCTTAATTAATGGCTGGCTTTAGCATATTACTGACACTCAATTGTTTGATGTTTTTTCGCTGCTGACATGCTTATAATACTCATGCTTATAATACTATAATAGTGTTTACTATTAAAAATAAGAGGAAGCCGTCCACTTTAATCTTGCTTTAGGTAGCCAAGTACTGTTAACTTTTATGAAGATCACTGAGAAACAGATTATTAGGCATACAGAGATCTCTCATTGTAAGGTGGTGTTAAGAGAGTTAATGATGAGCCACTGGCTTTTCATCCAAATAGTTTCCACTCTCCAGAAATGTTCAATGATCCAAACAGTGGTAACTTCTAAACAGCATTACAACCAATGAGTAGTTTAATGTACCAGCTACTGTCACTACCTTTACACAAGCTCAACCTCTGATTGATCCCCAACCTAAATTTTTGGAGACAGTCTGTTGTTTTTATTATGAAAAGTCTAAATAATTTAATAATAGTTCATTTTGTAAATAAGGAAGGGAAGATGGGTTGAAGGGAGGAGAGGAAAATGGGAGAAAAAGAAGCAGCAAGATATTATGGTACAAATTCCCTATAATGAATGATACCATTTATTATAACGAAAATGTACAATAAAAATTGGCTAAAAAACAGCCCAAATTGCATCTTTGTTCATTTCACCCAACAAGTAACCCCTAGTGAAATTACTTAGTCTTCAGTATCCTCTAAAAAGAAAAAAAAAAAAAAAATGAAACTTTGAGGGGAAGATTAACAAGTTACAATTTTCATATATGCTGGTACAGTACACTTTGCTGAGTATGTGAAGGTACTTATAGGGAAATAATGCAAGATATTTTAAAATTATGATATTTGATTCTTTGTGTGATTGAGCAAATAACTGAATACTAAAATTTAGAACTGAAAAAATGTTACTGACAGAATCAACATGTGCCTTATACATACTATAAATTATTCACATTTCACAATACAGCATTAAGGATCTAAAATCTGGTTTCTTCCTTTCCTTTGCTGGTTTATCTTTCAATCAGCAATATTCTGGCCATTCTTCCTTATCAGTTTTTCCTTATATTTGAAAACATCATTAATTCATGGAATCCACACCTAATCTGGGTTCTCATCACTATAGCCATCCATACCCACTACTGCAGAGCTTATCTCTTTAAAGATTGAACAATATCCCTAATTACCATCCTAATGCATCATTCTCATTATATCTAATTTTAGTCACAATTTTGTAGTTCTTTATAATCCCTGAAATAAAATCCAAAGTTCTCAGCAGATCATGCTAATCCAGCCCCCTTTTTCCTATTACCACTGTATGTTTCTACTGTCATTGTAACATACTGCCATATATTATTGAATTTAAAGCAACATAAACTTACTGTTTTACAGTTCTCTACATCATAGTCCTTTTAAGCTGAAATCCAGGTGCTGCTTGGGCATTTCTTCTGGAGGCTCTAATGAAGAATCAAGTTCCTTCCTTTTTCCAGTGTTGAGAAGCTACCTACATTCCTTGACTTGACTTTCTCCATTTTCAAGGCCTGCAGGACATCACCTTTGGTGACTCTAATACTACTGCCTTCCTAAGCATTCCATTATTTACTTTGGAGTTATGCCACCAGAATAATCTCTCCAATCTCAAAAACTTTAATCAAATCTGCCAGGTCACTTCTGCCATTTAAGTAACGTATTTACGATTTCAGGGATTAGGACAGGACATCTTTGAGAGAAGAGTATTATTCTGCCTACCATATCTCTTAACATAATGTCCCCACTATATTCAATCACATTTCCTTACTTTCCTCTAAATCCTCCTGCTCATTATTATGCATCTAGAAAACAACTCCACCCTTCCTTCCTACTACCCCCTGCCATCTAAACAAACTCTCACTAGCCTTCAGAGCTCAGATTATATCACAGTAACAAAACACTGCCATTCCAATACTCATTGGATTTTTGCAGGTTTTTTAAAATTGAGAGACATTCTCTTCCACACACAAATAAAGTCCTTATTGATAGTTTACGCATGCCAAAGTCCCAGCACAAATTAATGGCACATCCAGAGGACTTAACTGAAAAGTTTCAAAAGGGAGTTTAGACAAGCCTTAAGGAAACCAAGAAAAGATAGGGCACTTAGAACAGCAACAATGGGAAGTACCTGAAGCAAGAGTGGGAAGAAAAACCATGACCATTCCTAGGTCTGAGGAGTTTGATTGTGAACTCTAAGGATGGGAGATGGGTTATGGTACCGCGGCAGTGGCTAGCGAGAAAGGAGGGCAGCTAGTGCCAATACAGAAGGCCAGCAAGGAATGAATAGGGAAAATAAATAACTATCTTTCCCTCTACCTTGTAACATCTGATCCAGGCTTGTTACTGGTCATATCCAAATGGTAGGATTCAGCCTAATGTCAAGACGAACAATAACAGAGCATAATGAACACAGATTAATGTTTAAATTTATTGGGTATAAGCCCCTGTGCCAATAACTTTGCAATTTTTATTTCATTTTATTCTAAAGATTTCAAACTATTTTATGTATCAGAGACGAAGAAACTGAAGTACTAACAATTTCATTTGTCCAAAGTCACATCTGTAGAAAATAACTAGTATTCAATATCTGACCTCAAATTTCACACTCATAAGCCTAAAAGTGGAGTTTGTCTCCTTTTGCTTTGTGCTTTAAATGTGAAATCCAAACTTTTTTAAGACTTTGATAAGACTCTAGTTAATGATGCATACTTTAGATATACAGTAAAACGAGATGATGACCTACCCTAAGTATAACTCAAATAACAGCAATTTCTATTTATGATGATATGTGGAATGATCAAAATACTATATGCCATGAATGTTTAAATTTTAAAAAAATATTTCATTAAAAGATACATTGCCCAGCACTTGAGAGGCTGGCACAGGAGGATCACTGTGAGTTCAAGGCCAGCCTGGCCTATGTAGTGAGTCTAGGCCAGCTTGAATTACACAGTGAGACTCTGTCTCAAAATACATACCTACTAATATATATATATATATATACATGCATTGTCATTAATCTCCCTCAAAGTATTTCCCCTAGGTTCAAACACTTTATTCTTATTGCTTCTTTCTGAAGCAGCTTTTAAAGTCTTACTTTGTAAGTGTCTTTATCAGGTATAATCAAAATTACAGTGAATGCTTGTAGTAAATGTCATCAAGTGGTAAGACAGGCTGGTATAAATATTCTGATATGCTCTTTTACCTTATTCAATGAATGTGGCGGTATGTGACCTCTGGTTCTTCCCTAAAGTCAAAGTGACAATGAAAGGTAAACATTTTGAACTGATTCAGGATATCTAGGCATTCATTAAGAGCACAATTGTAGACATTCATGCAAGAGGACTTCCAGAACTGCTTCAGAAAATGACAAGCATGATGGAATAAGTGTGTTTGAAACAAGCAGGAACATGTTGAGGGGGGATTAATGGCATTTTTTTCTTTTACTATGTTAAAGCTTGGCATTCAATGTAGTTTCTGTTCTCGTCATATATATCCAAAAATATCCCTGAGTTATATCTTTTTTTCTAGAAATACTTTGGCCTAGGAACAAGGATCTTCTGTTTATAGGCAAGATTTGCTATTCAAAATGCAGTGAGGCTTTGATGGTGAATATGGGATGGAAGTGACTTATCCAAACAAAAAAAAGACCAGAGCATATTGTTAGGGATATTAAGGTGGTGAAAGTTTTCTTAGTCATATGGTGTCTGTAAAGGGAACAAGAATTCATGGGATTTTTTTGTTTTTGCTTTCTCTTCAGTAAAATGCAATGAGAGTAACAGTGAAGTCTACATCTAAGTTGGTTTACAGGGTGCTCACCTAGCTAATTTGATCATGACTCTTGGGCTACTGTTAATCATTATTGATCTTACCTCTCCATGGATGTGCCTCTACCTTTGTTCCCCTACTTGCAACCGAAAAAACTTCCCATTAAGATCTAGAACTTCTGAGTTTTCATTCACCCCCTTAAAATATTTGAAGTGTTTAAAAAATATGTATACTTAGAAAATTGGGGATCAATGACTATTTTATATTTACTTCACTGCATTTGTTGTATGAGACCAAGCGTGACAATTAAGGTTATGAAGAAACTGAGATGAAAGGTATTTGAATTGTCTCCACACTGCTAAAGTCAGAATAGATTGCCTATTCAGAGTAGTCTGTGACTGGAGAATTATATTCACTTTCAAAGTGATTACAGAAAAGCATCAAAAGATGCAAAGGAACTAAATATATTCCTTTCCTCAAGAATTTTTAATTTCTTTCAGCTTGCCTATCACGCCAAGTCCTCTAAAGTGTACTCTGGTCTTTTGCATAAACAAGTAGCTCCACTGCTATTATCCTTAACTTCCCATAGAAATTTCATTCTCAAAAGACTCCGTGGGTAGACTGGACCCCTTCCCCAGGGAAATATATGTCCCAACAGCTTTATCTATATAACATACCACTTGATATTATATTTAAATATCGAATTGTCTGTTTCCCAGCTTGCTGTATACTCTGTAAGGACAGGATCTTATGGTTAGCACCTAGGAATACTGTAATAGGCACTTTTAATGAATGAATCATGAAACAGAATATAGACAGATATAAAACACCTAATAAATCAAATTGTCTTTTAATTATATCCTCACAAATTTTTATCCAAGTTTATAGCTAACTAAATAGAAGCTACCATCAATTGCATCATTAAAAAATGTACTGTCAACTCAATATATAATTGCTAGTTAGCTGCATCCTAGTTTCACAGATATTGCAAAGTGGGAAACCATGCATCTAAAAATTATAGTCAATATCCAGCATATCTACATGACACTTATCATATTTCATTGTACATTTTGAAAACTACATTTTAAGGTCTCAAAGAGGCTAAAATCTGATACCTCTTATAAACACAAAGATAGGGACATTATTCCTCTTCTAGTATCTGATTTGAGGAATAACTGCTCCTCTGGCATCAGAAGCATCACCATTTCCCCAAAACAAGAGCTTCATCTAAATATCTACCTTTAGAAGGAAGCCTCAGGAAAAAGGTGACAATAAGGTAATCAAAGAAATTTCCAATCACATAGGATACATGACTGTAGCTTTGGCAATTCTTTAACTTTCTCTCATAGCAGTAAGAACAAAGGTTACATGTATATGAAAGAGTAATTTTAATTTAATCATTTCTATGACTTAAAGAGAAAATTTAAGTCAGCCAAATTTTAAAGGGAAACTAAAATGTATATACTGGTTGGTATTAGGAATTCATTTGATGTCCACACTGTATAAAATTGTTTAAACATTATTTTTTTGGTATAAAATATATGTGTATGGAAATAAATGTAAATTCCACAACAGAGCACCTTCAAAAATGGTTTTATATTTTTACTGTAAATCATAAAATTGTACAATAAATTTTCAAAAATATCTTATTAATTGGTTTTTAATGTACCAAATACTGAAGTCTGAGTTCAGATATATTTACTTATCTTTAAAAATATTGATATTATAAATTTCATTGCAATATTTTTGGCAAAATGTTCTTATATTACACAGTGATATAACAAAAAGAAACATACACTCAAGTTTTGTTTTGTGAATAAGATTTTGCTTATTTAGTAGAAGTTTTTTTATTGTTTATCATAATTGCAAGGAAGTGCTCTTAGTCACAGGGAAGTTAGATAAGTGAATACAAAAAAATTGCTTAAAAACCAAAAACCTTTTACTTTTTTTATACTTTTGCCTGTATTAGGTGAATAATCCTCCTTGCTTGTAGAGGTCACATGGGAGTCTTCAAACAATCTTAGCTTTGCATATTTTCTCTAAAGAAATGATTGCATTTATCACTGGAATTCATCATCTGAGCTCTAGCTCTTTATATATTTGGTAAAGATCATTTTCCAAATCATATGTAGTAAAACTAATTGCAGTTGGGCCAGGGATGTATCTCAGCAGCACAGCACCTGTCTGGCAACAGCAAGTTTGTGAGTTTGAAAAACAAACACAAACAAACAAACACATTATCATTATAAATTATTCTAAAATATGTCAAGACATTTTCCACAGTAAAATGTGTTTAAAGTCACGATTTTTTCACCCAAACGTGGGTAGCTCAAAAACTGAAATAGGTGTACAGAAACTTACCTAAGAGTAATCTTTTTAAATATTTAGTAACATTATAAGAATAACTTCTTAATTTTAGTATGTCAGTGATAGATAAGTTAAAATTTCTAAAGTAAAAGAGAACTAATAACCACTTGTTCTTTCATATAATATGTATGATCATATACCAGATTCCAGAAACATAAAGGAAAATAAAAGATAGTCCCTGCTTTCAGAGTTTCACAGTCTGCAACAAACGTTCAAAGGAGCAGTACTGGAAGGGGTTCCAAAGTGGTTTAAAAAGTTAAAAGATCACATTTATGTTTCAGGAAAATAAATTTTGAAAAAAAAGTACACCCACATATTATACAGCCCCACCTATTTAAGGGATACGACTAAGCACAAAGTGTTCCAACAAGATATCCATTCTTTAGGAACCTATAATACTTGCTACCGTCACGAGATCATTTCTGGCATACTATTTTATAGGAAGGATTGTAATGCAATTTACCATGGGATACATCAATCACTTCCATACAGTAGGGCTAACCTAAAGTTTGGTAAACAGGTATTAAATAAATTCACCTAACAGACTGCCCATTAGTCAACTAGGTCAAACCAAGTATCTTCCAAGTGATTGTGATCATGTTCAACTGAGGCCTCACTGCTTGCTTTGGTCTATCCAGATTTGTATCTTCAAGCAAAGGATTCTTCGGGATTCACATGTTTATGCAGTTCTTCAATTTAGAGAGTACCATAATCTCATAAGGATGTTCATACGAGAGAATCAGGACAACTATGTAATATGTATTTACAGTATAGAGTGAAAATAGGTTTGCAACAGTTAAAGGACATATCCAAAGTTTACAGAATACTGCTTCAGAATAGATTCACTCATGTAAGTATTAAACTTGGAATCAGTCTTGTACCACTAAAATGAACGTTAGAATCAAAGTCAAAAGATAGCATGTAATATTTAAAACAGGTAAGAATGAGATTATGTTAGTTTCTTAATGTTGCAGCATTTTTTACAGTTATATTGATTTTAATTACTGAATTCAATTTCCTCAATTTTCACATAAAAGAAATTGAATTTCAAAGAGACTAAATGCTGCCAAAAGTTACAGTAAAAACAACTGAAGGGTAAGAACTACAGTTCTCTTGACTTCTAGCCCAATTCCAGTGGAAATGTTTCAAAAACAACAAATTAAAAACACTGGAAGGTAACTTGACTTTTTTTTTTTGTTCTGGAGACATTAAAATAGATATGATTTTATAGGAAAACAGACATGATTAAAATACCCTATATAAAGGTTTCTGTTTTCAAAGACCCAGTAAGTACAAAATTATAATTTAAAACCACAGCCAAATCATGTCTTTTTCTTGTAATTTTGCTTATTTTGGAAAACAGTAAAAATAAATTTAATTAGTTTTTAAATTAAATATTTAATAATATCACTGCCTCAAGAAGTCTGTAATAGTATTAATAGAGCTAACACATTTTACATTTCATATCCCCTAGTTTACCATTCATGTTTGAGTACCTACCACATGCTAGAATTTTGTAGGAGAAAGTAGAATAATACAGGATGAATCCTTCAATAGTTCATTAAAAAAGACACTGCCTTTAATCAAATTGATATGATGCATGGTTTTAATTCCAGATAATATTTAAGGTGGCTTTATGGATAAACAAAATACATGGAATCAGGGAAAAAATTTAAATAGAATATTGTGAGCTGATGTAGAAAAGGAGAAATTTCCTAGGATGTATGGGGAACAAAGATTACTTTCATAGTATAATGTAGAGTGCCCTAAAGGTTTGAGATATAAAGCTGTTAAGACTATAACATTGAAGCTTGAGTATCAGGAATTTGTAACTTAAATTAGTGAGTTACTGCAACCTCAAATAACTCAGAATAACAGTGTAATGCTTGGTCTAGAAATACAAGACATAACACAAAATCTGGCAGAAAACATCAGCTCATTTAACAATAAGCTCACATTACAAAAGAAAGATCTAAACTGTTGCACATATTTCAGATCAAACTAACTCTTTGAAAAATGTTGTATGTTCAATCACTGAAGCATATTGATTAGACATCCTTTACCTTACCGACAACAAATCAGAATAGGGTGTTACAGGCTTCAAATGTAGAAATGGCTATACATATGTTTTTCTAAAATCATATGTTAGATCATTCTAACATGTGTAGGCAGGGCAGGAAGAAAACTGTGGCAAAGCATCATAACAATTTCAAGAGGTACAAAAACAGGGAAGGAATTAGTACCTTTCAAATCTCCTAGACTCATATCTAAGTTTTGGGTTTTTATCCAGTAAAAGCGCCAGCTAAGGGCAAATGCCCATAAATAACAGTACATAATTTGCATTTTTTAAAAATCCTTGGTAGATTATGGAGAGAGATGGATTTTGTTTAGAAAAACATCAAAGAGCATTTCAAAGCTCCCACTGAAAAGCCTTCCTTCTCTTCTCCTGTCTCACACATACACTTACATGCTTCTACTTTACTAGCTATCATTTCAGTTAACAAGATTCTTTTAAAGTAATACCACATACACTGGGGAGGCATGACACCTTAATACTTCAGCAGGATCCTTCCCAGCTTAGAAAAGCTTCTGAATTCTCCTGGAATTGGAGAATGACGCAGTATGAGTTAACTTAGGATATTCAGTATGACAAAAGATAAGAAAAAGTAAAGATGAGAGAAAAAAGGAGGGCAAGAAGCCCAACAATAAATGGCAATTCTAATGTGACTTAGGGCCTTGGAAAGGTCCTTTGTCCCTGAAGGAAGAAGATAACTGACACTTTAATTAAAATTACCAAGCCTGTGCTCTGGTCAAATTCCTCCCTTTTATTCCTGTCTCACAAACAAGCTCAGGCTGGTGACCGTCACTTTAAAAAATCCATACACACAAAAAGACAGGAAAAATAACGGGAACATGTGTGTTGGGCAATTCTATTTACATTCCATCTTAATTTCCAACGGTGGGAACTCTTTCTCTTTGCTATTTTCTGGCCTTTTAAGGAAGGAAATCTCACTTTTTCGCCCTACTCTGCAATTAAAAAAAAAAAAAAGTCTTTAGAAAATTTTCTTTAAAATTGTTTCTGTAGCTATTCGTTTGCAACCAGTCATAGTTAGATCAATTTATCTCCACTTCCCATATCCTCAGCTTTCACCCTAGCTCTTGCAGTGAAGAAAAATGCCAACCCATTGCGACCCAGTCCCCACCCCAAACATGTCACAGGTTACTGAGCTGAGGAAAGCTGAGCTTGCCAAGTTTGGATTCTGGGATTCCCAAGACTTCAGGTCAGGCCACTGGGAGGTCCACCCAGGGGTAAATTCCACACATAGTTTCCTTCTCTGGGATCAGTGCTTTAACATCTGGGTTAACTGAATTCTGCGGAAATAGTAACTAAGCGCAGGAAACTGCTGGGCACTTTGCTCAGAGACGGGATCTAACGTGACTAATTATTCTTAGAAAACGTTTCCGAAAATATAAAGTCCAACAGGCCCGTTGCGTCTAAGTGAGAAGCAGGAATGAGCAACAGGGAGCACAGTTTGAACATTTCTGGCAAAATCTGTACTTTCGAAAGCGCCTTTTACTTTTAGGTAAATTGTGAAATTGGATTTAGGCAAGGGCGGAGGTACAGAGTGACAACCACACCGCATCCAGCTAACAATATTTTCACTCACTCCTTCGTTCTTCACAAACAGGGATGGAAGAGAAAACTTGGGAAGCCCAAGTTCTGCGTTAAAATAAACCTTTCGTCAAAAACAGCGGCCGCACCTTAACAGTTCATTCCTGCGCAGCTCCTCCTCGCTTTGTAGGCCTGCGCCTGCGCAAACTGTGACCCCGCCTTTCCGCCGGGACGTGAGCGTACGCGGGAGACGTACAGTGCCGCGCATGCGCCTCCGTGCGTCGCTTACGTGTTCGAGCTGGTGGTTGGAACTCCTGAAAGGTCCGGGTTCCCTCAGGTGTCTCCCAGATCGGTTTGGCGCGCTGCGCCGGGGGACAAAGGAGGAAAGGGGCAACAGTAAGTGCTCCCCTCAATTGTGTGAGTCAGAGATAGAGTATTTCTCTCCCTCCAGGCAGCTGCCCATACTTATTGGGCCCGCCCCCTTCCTGGCCTTAACTGCTTTTTCCCTGCCCCGCACCTTTCCTGTCGGGAACCCCCTCCATACCTTTTGTTCTGCAGTTGAGCCCCTGAAAAGGCTATGAAGCTTGTGAGGAAGGACATTGAGAAGGACAATGCGGGCCAGGTGACTCTGGTCCCCGAAGAGCCCGAGGACATGTGGCACACTTATAATCTAGTGCAGGTAGGAGACAGCTTGCGCGCCTCCACCATCCGCAAGGTACAAACCGAGTCCTCCACGGGTAGCGTGGGAAGCAACCGGGTCCGCACTACTCTCACACTCTGCGTGGAAGCCATCGACTTTGACTCTCAAGCCTGCCAACTGAGGGTTAAGGGGACCAACATCCAAGAGAATGAATATGTCAAAATGGGGGCTTACCACACTATAGAGCTGGAGCCCAACCGCCAGTTCACCCTGGCAAAGAAACAGTGGGACAGTGTGGTTCTGGAGCGCATCGAGCAAGCCTGTGATCCAGCTTGGAGTGCTGATGTGGCAGCTGTAGTTATGCAGGAAGGCCTTGCCCATATCTGCTTAGTCACTCCCAGCATGACCCTCACCCGGGCCAAGGTGGAGGTGAACATCCCTAGGAAACGGAAAGGCAACTGCTCACAGCATGACCGAGCCTTAGAGCGGTTCTATGAGCAGGTGGTTCAAGCCATCCAGCGCCACATAAACTTCGATGTTGTAAAGTGTGTTCTGGTGGCCAGCCCAGGATTTGTGCGAGAGCAGTTCTGCGACTACATGTTTCAACAAGCAGTGAAGACGGACAACAAAGTTCTCCTGGAAAATCGGTCTAAATTCCTTCAGGTAAAAAGTGTTTTATTCAAAGATAGTTAAGCATGGGCGGAGAGTGTTATAAATCGTGCCTTACGTTTTGGAATTGGGAAAAATAAACTCTTGGCTGGGATCATAAATAAGATAATGACAAGGAAATTGTGGATAAAAAGCACTTTTATCTAGTAAAGTTCAGCGAAGTCCTATTAAAGTCTTTTTAATGCTTTTGGCTTAGGTCATAGTGGGCTGGTTAATGGATGCTCTCAGAGATTCTTTTGTCTTTTATAATTGTGATTCTAGGTACATGCCTCCTCTGGACACAAGTATTCCCTGAAAGAGGCCCTTTGTGACCCTTCTGTAGCTAGCCGCCTTTCAGACACTAAAGCTGCTGGGGAAGTAAAGGCCTTAGATGACTTCTATAAAATGTTACAACATGAACCTGACCGAGCTTTCTACGGACTCAAGCAGGTGGAGAAGGCCAATGAAGCCATGGCAATTGACACATTGCTCATCAGTGATGAGCTCTTCAGGCATCAGGATGTTGCCACACGGAGTCGGTATGTAAGGCTGGTGGATAGTGTGAAAGAGAATGCAGGCACAGTCAGAATATTCTCTAGTCTTCATGTATCTGGGGAGCAGCTCAGCCAGTTGACTGGAGTGGCTGCCATTCTCCGATTCCCTGTCCCTGAACTTTCTGACCAAGAGGATGATTCCAGTTCTGAAGAGGATTAGTGATTGAAACTTGAGACAACCTGTGTTTGACTTCTTCACTGTGACATTCATCTTGACATACCTATGACAAGCTCCAAGAGTGGCATTTTTTGATTCGTGCTTGTATTTTTCACATACTGGGTAACACTTGGTGTTTCATGGTTTGCAGAGCATGTGTTCAAACTAAATAATAAACTAAAATGAAGTAATCCTCATGTGCTACTATCTTTACTAATTAGAATTTTTATCTGTAGTATGTAGAAAAATTTTGTGTGTAATAAAAATACTTAAATTGGGTTACATCATAAAATCCCATTATTGTGTGCTTTAAGGTAGTGTTCCTAAGAAAAGTTTATTCTCTCATTATCCTAAGTTTACATTATTTATATACAGTGTTCTTGCATTTTATGTATTTATCCCTTTTCTCCTGGCCTCTTACACACTCCCAGTTACTTTTTTAGATTTTAATGTATTTGCTATTTTAAATGAAATCAATTAATAAACTTTAAGATGTTTATTTTTTTCTTAAGAGATTTGTTAAACCAGACATGTTAAAAATATTCTTAGTGCATTTTTGTTGCTCAGTTTAACCATATTTGCTTTAGAGAACCACTTAATTATTTTAAGAACATAGAACTTTGATTTACTAGATTTTCAATTGAGGCCTGTCTTTAAAAATAAAACTAAAGTATGTGTTTTGCTTTATATGTGTCTAATTAGTGGCAAAGCTGGAAGCAGACTCTATTCTGAATTTCTAGTTCTTTGCAATGAAACATTGCCATAGTATTTTTTAAAAATGTATATATTTAGGATATCCACATAGTATTTACTTCTGTTTCATATTTGTATGTGGGATTGCTCTGTGCTTGCACATTCTTTCTGGACTATCCTGGGTATGAAAAAGCATATTCAAATAATAGAATAAGTTACTTCATAATAGCTATACTCCAGTTCTCTTTACTATAATTGTTATTTGTGCAAATATCTCAGAGCTTAAAATATGTTTTATTAAGTTTGTTTTGATTTGTTGAGAAAGGATCTTGAAGTGCAGTTCCTGCTGATCTTAAAATTTACTGTGTATCCCAAGCTAGTCTTAAATTCACAGTGATGTTGCCTCAGCCTCATGCCTTGGATTACAGGCATGCACTGCCACATCTAGCTTATTAAATATTTTTGTTGTTTATTTCTAAGAGTTATGAAAGGAGCTTTGGGGGATGGAAATGCATCTTGATCTTTTACAAACCTCAGCTTGTCAAAATAATTAGGAAAGGTCTTAGAATAGCATTAATTTCTAACCCTTAAATCAGTGATACCTACCTCAAGTAGGGATACTAAGTATACTTTTGTTTGTATTTTATGTGTAGTCTTTCTTCATGCTATCGCAGGTTAGAGATTATTTTGATAAACTTAGTAGTCAGAACCTTTCTGATGTTAGAGTCTGACACTTTAAAATCACATATCTATTTTTTTACCTCCTAAAAAATAATTCAGATTGTCATTTCACTATAAGTCCATGAATATAAAATATAAAATCCTAAATATATTAAAAATATTTTATGAAATAATTTAGAAATATAGAAGGAAAGCCAATACAATTATTAAAGTTAAAATCTGTTCATTTGAACTTAATTTTTAGACATCTGTCGTAATCTGTACAGTACTGAAATAAAATCTTAATAAATAGAACCAGTGCATTTTAGGACAGAAGTTCTTGAACTTTACTATCTGTTAGCTTTTTGTTCTGAGTTCTTAAATGGCACCCAAACTAGACCTTTTCATGGAAGTGCTGCTTTTTGTTCAGATTGTTTTTTTTTTTTTTAAACAGGTATTTAGGTGACTCCAGTAGTCCTCAAAGCTAAAAACTACTGATTGAAATCTTTCGATTCAAAATGGAAGTCCATTGTCCAGCACCATCCTTGAGAATTAGCAGGGCCCAGGGCACTACTGAGTGATAGTCTTCTTGTATCAACATCTCTATGTGATTGCATAATAAAATGTGTTACAAACATAGGCAGTAGCTTATTTTTCCATGGCTGGGAAATTTGACTGGGGTCATCAGTCATAGGGAAAACTAAATTTGGATTTTTAGATCTTTCGAAAGAGTTAACTAGCCATCTATTAAACCTGTAATAAAAAATTTTTTTTATAGGTATGAATTGTTTAATTTAAAATTTTTATGTATCTTTTAAAAGCCATTTTTTTACATCATTATCAAGAGTGTATTTCTCACTGGCTTATAAGGAAAAATAGCAAGATAATAAGAGGGAAGAAAATAAATTCTAGTTTTGTTTTGTTTCACTTTTTTAAAAATAAGCTGTAAATCTTTGAAAATCATATGTATTAGTCTAATTCCAACTGCTGTACCTTAACATTGTGGAATGTGTGTGATGGATCATTATCAATAATATTTTAACTTCAAATATACTGTAAGTTTCCATTTCTCATTAGATTCCTGGTATAAAGATTTGCTACCTCCCAGACTCAATAAATGAGAAGCACGGAAATCCTTTTACTTTGCCATGAATATGGTATATCTCAAATTACACTTTGTTATTCATGGTCTCTCATTTATACATGAAATATCTTCCTAATTTTATGACTGGATTTTACTTTTATTGCCTCTTTATAAACAAGTAGAATCTTTCTCCTTTCAAATACCAGAGTAGCTTTTATAGAGTTAATTTTCCTTTATCTCTTAGTTTGTCAAAAGTTTTAATTTTGTTTTAATCCTCATGAATAATTCAACTTTATACTTAATAGTGACTGATAAGGACTGCAATTCATGTATTGTGGAAATGAAATTCTTGCTAAAAAACAGTATAGAGTTCAAGCAGTGTATTTATAAGCTCTCCATAAGAAAAATCTCTTAGTCGGGAAAAGATTATTGTGTCTTTACATCATGGATTTCCATAGAAATCTGGCTATTTATGTCTTGTATCAATATGTTGAGTTACATATTACGTATGATAATTCTGAGAGTTTGAGAAAAGAACATTTTTGCCTGCACTGGAGCTTAGATACTGAATGCCTATGTTTATATCTGTCATTATGAGTAATTTGTGTATTTTGGAGGATATCGTCTTTAGGAGGAATATCCTCAGGTAAGAGCCAGTAAATTAATTTGAAAATATGATAAGAAACATGGTAGGTGAGAGGAACCAAGAGGGCAGGTGAACAAATCACTAGAAATGTTCCATGCCACAATAAGGAGTTTGGGTTTCACTATAATGAGAACAGTTGCATCAGTTAAGCAGGGGCATGACATAATAAATAGTATTTCAGGCCTAGCATGGTTTCACAAAGATGTAATCCTAGCATTCTAGGAGACTGAGTTAGGAGGATTGCTGTGAGTTTGAAGCCAGACAGGGCTACAAAGAGTTCAAGGCCAGCTTGAACAACATAGTGAAAACCCGTCTCAAAAAGACAAAAAAGAAAAGCGTTTCACAATTGTAATTGTTCAGTCAAGGATGAATTGAAAGAGGCAAGAAGATTATGTAAAATGTGTATCACAAAAAGGAGAGGAAAAAATGATAAGCCTGAACAAAGGCAGGAACAATATTCTTGGAATAAATAGAAAAAGGTCTTTAGGAGATGTTAAGAGATCAAAATGATTTGTGCTACAGAATTTTGGTCAAAGTTATTGAAAGTAAAGTCTAAAGGTCAATTTTGGATTTCTTTATTGAGTGGGGGAAGTAATGATGCAATTCACATGAAAATACAGGAGGAGCGGGAGGAAAATGTTCTGTGGAACATGTGGAATGTTTCTTGACCTGATTTGTACAGTTCCTTACTCTAGGTTTTTACTCTGATACCACCTTTTCTGGTAGGTCTTCCTAGATAGCCATTTTAAAAATATGTGTTAGAGAGTCATGATTGGATCTGTGGAAATAATTTGGGTTTTTTTTTTTTTTTTTGTAGCAGAAATGTTCACAGGGCAAGAATTAGCAAGCTGTGTTTCATTCAAGCTGTTGGATACTTGGTTTTGTGCTCTCTATCTTAATGTGGCACCTTTGGTTTCTTCTGGAGTCACTCTTTACCTGCAGAAGCACAAATGTTGGAGCTGTGTTGTAAATTTTGCAAAATTTTATTTTCATTTTTAAGTTGTGAAAATACTTTTAAAAATTTACTTTAATTAACCTACAGTTTTACTCACACATCTTTTTCAAGGAAAGATATCCCAGTAATGAACATATAAAGTAAACCATTAGAAGATTAAAAAAAAAAAAACATTGTTTTCAATAAAGTTTATAAAATCCTCAGTAAAATAGTTTTTTTAGATTGGTGTCAAGTGTATTTAACTTTTGTGCTGTGACTCAGGTTTTATGTTCTAGGAGATTTGATATTTTAGAAAAGGGCTGTTCATAATTTTCTTACTGTGTTTTGGGTACTATTGACTGTAAATTCAGAAAAAGTGCGAAAATATTACACAGATGCCAAAATGATAGTATGTGTGTGTGTGCTGGGAGTTGAATCCAGGACCTTCTCACTGAATTATATCCTCAGTCCTTTTTAAAAATTTTTCTTATTTTAAGATAAAATTTGACTAAGTTGCTGGCTTGAATTTGTGATCATCCTTCCTCAGCCTCCCAGAGTGTAGAGATTACAGGTGCCTATCACTCCTAGGTGCGAAAATGATTTTTAAAGGAGTTAAGATGCAAGTACAGTATTTTTGGTTGTTAAGTATGCTTTCTTAGAAAAGATTCAAAATCCCTCTAATTAAGGTGTTAGAAAACAAAATGCATAGTAGTAGTGTTGCAATCTAACAGGGAAAAGAAATTTCTTAATGTAGTCACCAAGTAGGAAGTAAACATCGTAGAAATAAGGACAACAACAAAAAAATGTTTCAAGTTTGGTAAGGAAATGAATTTTTAATTAGACAATAAAATGGGACAGACAAGATCCTTGTTAAGCTAAGTGGAGATGTTAAACTAGGGGAATTGTTTTACATTAACAAGATCATGTCCTTTTTAGGCAGTGTTTCAGATGCTAATTGCAAAGGATTGTAACACTTAAGATAAAATGGGGATCTGAATTACCAGTCTTTAAATTTCTTTTTCATCTCAGAATTGCCCACATTAAAACGCTATCCTTTAGAATGCTAGTTTAATGAAAATGCGTGTTTTCTATAATGTCAGAATATTAGAGGTCTTATTTTAATTTGGGTAACACATTTAATCCAAAACACCAAATACTGAGGCAGCAAATACAACAGGAAAATGTCTTGGCAGTCATAGTGCTTGGCTATCACCAGTGTTGACACCACTAGCCTGCCCCACTAATGGACAGCCTGTTACAACAATAGTAACTCTGTGCTTAAGAGCCAAGTCCTGTGGTGAGGGCTTTAAAATGCATGATTTAATTTTTATAAGAACCTTAAAAGTAAGTCCTAAAATATTCTGTATAGCATACAGTTCACTATTAGAAAATATAGAGAAAATGCATATTAAAGCAAATCCTATAAGCCTTTACCCAACATTATTTTTATGCCTACTTTTACAAGATTTTTAATTTTTAAAACTACTGTTAATGTGTTTTTCAACCAACATTTACTGACTAAGCACTGAGTAGCTGCAGCTATGTTACTCTTGGGTATGCAAAGATGAATTAAAGAAGTTTTTCCTTTTCATCAGTCATCAAATTAGACATTGGGGAAGATGAGCACATGTGGCCAAGCTGATTGAGAAGTAATAGCTGTCCAGAGTGATAGCTGTCACTCAGGTGGATCCTGAAGCACCATCACAAGAAAAAACAGAATTTACTATATTTCTCTAGGGCCTGTGGATATTATTGTGTGATAATAATTGATTTACATTAGGAAAAGATTAGAGTTAGCATATTCTGATAAAAGAAATTAATGTCTTTTGAAATTATATTCACCTAGAATTATTACTTGTGCTAGAGAATGAACTGAGACTTTGTACTTAGAAGACTAGCACTCTACCACTAAACTATACTAGCCCTCTATGCAGAGTTACTAAAGGTAGTAGTAGGACATGAAAAGTGAGGCGATTGTTATATTTACAACAGTAGTCCCAGATAACCAGCAGTTTTACTATATCATAATATTTTCAAAGAACTAAGTTGCTGAACTATGAATTCTTTTTAAAAATACCAATAGATTTTAGTTGTAAGTTTTATTCAGAGGTAGAAGGTTCTTCTAACTTAAATTCTAAATTCCAGAAATTTTGTCTCGAATTTTTCATTGAGTCCTAGTGTAAATACTAAAACCTTTTGTTTTATAAAAATAAAAACATTTTAATCATGTTTCAGTCTATTTGATTCAGTGACAACTGTAGTTTTTGTCCCAAAGTGTATTAATAGTGGTAAATACCTTCTTTTACAAAAAAATGATCAAGGAGAGGAAGATTAAACATATTGCAGTAGATAGCTCTGAGTCATTTATAATTATGAAAAATGAAAGCTGAGAGGAAGCTTACATATCATTTGACCAACTCATTTCATGATCTAGTTGTAAACTGAGGCCAGAGATGGTTGGTAACTTGCTTGAAGTCACATGACCTAGAGGTTTTTCATACAGCCTCCATTCCTACTTGATCCATTTCAATCCAATTTCCTACTCATTTTCATGTCACCACCAGTGCATATTGTGAATTTGTTAGGCCAACAAGGAAAATACAAGACTTTAAATGTTTTAAGCCCTCCTTTATCAAAATATTCATCATCTGTGGCAAGGTAATTTCTGAGTAGCACCATCACTGACATCCAAATCTACTTTGATTCCTTGAGGGATTGTTTGTCTTTCATTAGAGAAAGACTTTACCTGTCTCTTCTGAAAACTGTTCACTGAGTGCTCACTGTTAGCAGGTATTTCTCTAACATCCAGTGATCCAAAATGAAAAGAGAAAGAATCATCCCCTTTAGGAAAACACAGCTCAGCATTGAAACATATGGAAAAATAGTGGTCACATCAGTAATTTTAGCACAGGAAAATGGGAGTTTAGAAGTGCTCTTGACTCATTGTGGTTTTGGTGAGGAGGTGGGCCACAGCAGAAACGTAAATTCTGGAAGCCCACACCAACCTTCTACTACTCTTTAGAGAGATGAAACAAAGGAAGTTCAGAGCATTCCTCTTTAAATCCACTCAACTTCACTTTCATAACATTTTTTTCCTCTTTGGGGGTCTCTGTAAATATAAATTTAGGGACTTAAAACGGAATCAACAAACCTTAGGAGATCTGGTGAAAGGAAATTATATTTACTTCCTACTGTCAGAAATAAATGTAAGAGGTTTAAGTAGAATCAGAAATATAGACCAATGACTATGACTGATAGGACTCTGTAAGATTCTGGAACCTTTATTATATCTATATTTTTGTTAACTCCTCTGTCTTTTTCATGACTAACAGCAAAACCTGTAAGCAGGAAAGGTAAATTTCGCTTGTCTTAGGATGGCATAGAAAGGAATGATGACTGTAGCTTAGGACTTTCCCTGTCTGCAGCCATTCTTGGGGAAATGGTGTTGGGGATAGAGTGGACAGTTGTC